AAGCACACATCGGGCAGCAATGGGGACGTGCTGCTGCGGCTGCACTCCCAGTACCCGGGGGACATCGGCTGCTTCACCATTTATTTCCTCAATCTGGTGAGGTTGGAGCCGGGGGAGGCCATGTTCCTGGGAGCCAACGAGCCCCATGCCTACCTGCACGGAGGTGAGCATTGCGGTGGGCTTTCCTAACCCAGGACCCTACAAGGACTGTCCCCCAGGGTGGCCACAGTCTCCTGCACAAGGTGGGACCCCCCCGAGATGTGCAGGAGGCCTGGGGTGGGCTGACAGTGCCGCCTCATCCCTGCAGACTGCGTGGAGTGCATGGCATGCTCAGATAACACGGTGCGTGCTGGGCTCACCCCCAAATTCATCGATGTCCTCACCTTGTGCGAGATGCTCAACTACACACCGGCACCCAGCAGCTCCAAGATCTTCCCGGCTGCACAGAGCCAGCTCGACCCCAGCATCTACCTCTACGATCCGCCCGTGCCAGACTTTGCCATCATGAGGATAGAGGTGAGAGGCAGCAGGTCCGCTTTGGGGACGTGGAGAAGGGACACAGCTTTCTCCCATCTCAGCTGTGTTCTTGGTCGGACATCTCAGTGTTGGCTCGGGTTTTCTTGGCATGGGTTTGCTTGCCCTTGTAGTGAGTGCCCAGCAAGGATGGAGGAATGCTTGGGGCTGCTGGGGGTGCTTGTGTCACTCCTGGGCAGCACTGCAGACTCCTCTCCCTCCCCTGTTCCCCTGCCTAGAGCTCATTCACCTTCTCCAGCAGCTCTGGGCAGAGGGAGGACCAGGAAGAGGTCTTGGGGGTGCAGCTTGGGTGTTCTCAGCTAAGCTGAGGTCCCTGGGCTTGGGCTGCTGCAGGCGCAGGGTGGCCTGGGCACAGCAAAGGCTGCAGCAGGGTGGCAATGGGGGTGACCCCCTTCCAGCCCTCTGAAGAGAAGAAAAGCTGAGGGAAACTCAAGCCACGGTGACCCTTTCCATTGCAGATCCTCCCCTCCATCAAGCTGTACCTCATCTCTGCCATGGACTCTGCCAGCATCTTGCTGGTGATCCAAGGGACAGCCGTGGGCACCTCCACAGCTGCAGCCTCCGAAATGACTCTGCGCCGTGGTTCCGTGCTCTTTATCTCCGCTAACGAGAGCATCTCTCTCCACCTCTCCTCACCGGATTTCCGAGCCTGCTGTCTCCTCTGAGCGAGACCTGGGATGCTTCCCCCCACATCACTCCACCTTTGAGTAGACAGAAACTGGCCTGGGCAAAATCATCTCGCTTGGAAGTTTCCCCTCCATCTATTAAACTCCAAAACCAGCCTGCACCCAACGTATAGAAAGAGCAATTCCATGAATCGACTCCTTGGATGAGGCGTGGAGCAGAGCAGGCAGAGGAAGAGCATCTCTGCTCTCAGCTCGTCAGCCACATCCCTGTAGCATCATCCCCTCTGGATGCTGCTAATGCCATACAGCGACTCCTTCTATTATTATTTTTTTTTTCCCCCCTTCCTTCTCAGCACAAAGCAGCAGGGAAGCCTGAGGTCTGCACCCCGGGTCTCGAGCATCTCTGCCCAGCTTCTAGGAGCTGCTGCTCCCTCCTGTGAATGTGATGCTGAGGCTCTGTGCTGCTCCTGGGTGCCTGGTGGGCCCTTCCCAAGCCTGGCCGATGGCAGACAGTTCTCTGAGCCGTGTCACCCCTTCCCCGGCTGTAAAAGGGGGGCTGCTTGGTGGGGTGACGGAGCTGGAGGGGCTCCGCTGCTGTGAATAAAGTGGTGACTTTGATCCTTGGCGCAGGGCAGTGTGGTATATGGAGCAGGAGGAGGACGGGGAGAAGCACTGGTGTTTGCAGGGCTCGGGGACCGGAGGAGGCTGAAGGCAGCTCCAGCATCCTCCAGGCACCGGCTGCGACCTTCCCCACATTGCCCCACTGCAGCATTGCCCCCCACACGGCAGCTCTGCAGGGAAATAAGACACCGGGGTAAAATGTGACAAGGGAAAGCAGGTTGCTCTGAAAATGTGGTGGGGTCAGGAAAGGAGCACTCCCAAGCACGACAGCTGTGGGGAGCAGGGCTCAGCCCCCTGCCACAGCACCAACACACCCTCCAAGTAATGAGATCCAGTTTATTGAGTGCTCCCTTTAACAAGTAAAATACAAAAAAAAAAAAGCCACCCACAACAGTTCAGGTCTTTAGACGCGGAATATTTAAATAAGGTTTCTTTATAAGAATCTGATTGTCCTCTATGTAGTAGAGCAGAACCATAATTTAAGGCAGCTTTTAAGGTTCACAGCAGGTAGACTCCCCAGCCACCCCAAATCTACACCCAAAAGGAGCTGTGCAGAGCTGGCATGGGGGATCTGGGCTGCCCCTCACCTGCAGCAAAGCAGCTTTGGGGAGAACTGGAACAAGCCATCAGCTCCAAACCTACAACTTTACAGGTCCCTCGAGGCAGAAAGTGAGGAGGTCCCAGCCTGAGCAGTAGCTGCTGGTGGATATAACAAATGCAGATGCTTAAAGCTCAGCAGCCTGCCCCAATCTGCTCACTTGGGTTCCCCCCATCTTATCTTCTTCATCAGAGCTGCAATCTGTGGTTCAGATCAGCCCAGGCTTTGGGAGGAGGGAACCCAGCAGCAATTAATTGCAAGCAGTATGAGATAGGTAAATGAAGCAGCTCTCTGCCAGCCTGCGCTGACCCCAGCCTCGCTGGCTTGGGCTCAGCCTGCCAGGGAGGAGGGGTGACTAAAGCAAAAATAAATAGAAAAGGGGTCTCAGGGCTTCCCAGCCCGGTCCCACACAACAGCAGTTTGACCCCACCATCAACCACCTCTTCATTAGGCGGGGCTGGGAAGGGCAATCTGTGTCTGGGGCCAGGTCCTACTCCTCGATATGGCCAATTAAAGGAAGAAAAGAGGAGGTCAGACAAACCAAAGAGCATTTGCTGCTGCACCTCCCAATTCCTTCCCTTTACACCCCCATGGAGGTGCCCGAGCTCTGCCTCTCCTCCCTCCCCACCCCAGCCACCTAAACATCACTGTGCCACCTCTCCCTGATATTGCTGAGTGAAAGGAAAAGTCCTTTGGGGTTGGTTGGTTGCTGCTGCTCACCATGAGCAGCATCACAGCATCATTCAGTCCTTGTGTAACAATCCCAGCCTGGGACACGGACACCAACAGCCATCCCACAGGACAAAGAAAGTGCTGGCTTTTGACCTGTTCTTGCACAGCCCCCGCTGAGCAGCGTCTACTGGATCACGCAAGAGAGATTTTCTCCAAAACAACAGAGGCAAGAAGAGGAGGCAACGGGTTTCGGGGGGATGAGATCCAGATCTTCATCATCAGGGACCTCGTCGAGGTGGTACCCATCCTGTAGCAGCTGCCGGCTCAGGTCCTGGTTCACCTGCTGAGGGGGAGGAACAAAGGAAGCAGAGCTGGTTAAAATTAGTCCCAGTTTAGTTAAAATTTAGGTCCCAGGGCTTGCAAAGGGTAGGGCTGCAAGCAAGAAGGACATCGCATCCTCCCTCTAGTGCCTTTGCATGGGGAGAAGCAGCACAACCAGAGCAGAAAAGATGAAAGCAAAAGACCAAAGAGCTTTTCCTGGGCTGCAGCACGCCAACATACCTCCCGTGCACCCCAAAACACCCCGCAGGCTGCAACACCCTTGAATGATGGAGCTCTTCAGGTGCCCCGTTGCAGGGTCTGGTGGCAGACGATGCTTTAAGTGCCAAGGGTGAAGCAGTGACAGCCAGCTGGGGCTTGCAAAAGGGAGATTTATGCATGGCTTAAGTGTATCGGGCAGCAGAGGCAGCAGTTTGCAAAGCAGAGCTCTGCGGGGTGGACACGTATGTACACACCCCATAGGGTGATGCTTCATTTCAGCCCCTATACAGAACCTCAAGGTGTAAGAGGAACAAGGGAGCCCACGGGGACCGCGCTGTCAGAGTCAAACCCCTGGACTTGCCTCGGCGGAGGAGTAGCCTGAGGAACATTTGGATCCCAGCTCCCCGTCACTAAGAGAAGAAGGAAACAGTCAGAGCCAGCCGAGAAGCGGCGTTTTTGCTTGGGATGCAGACGAGGGAATCTCAGGGGGGGAAAAGGGAGCTGGCAGCGTAACCCCAAGGGATTTGTTAAATGTGGGACAACAGGAGTGTTTCGCTCCTAAGAGGTGCCCAGTGCAATCGGGGATGCTCTACAAGTGACAAGGAAAATCAATCCCAACCAAAAACCAGCTCTGAGCCTGCAACACCCCCCACCCAAAATCCTGAGATATTCACCCAGCCCCCACCTGTCCGAATCGAGGGAGACCAGGTTTTCATCTGCCGTCTGGCTGAGCGCCGTGTAGCCCTTGTTAAACTTCACCAATCTGCAGGAAAGCAGAGGAGCGAGGCCATAACAGATGTTTTGGTGTGGAAATGCAGC